CAGCTGCCCACAGGGCAGCAGCCTCTACAGGTGCAGGACTGCATCACCCTGACAAAAGAAGCTGCCAAGGCACACACCAGGTGGGATCCAGGTCTGGCCAGCTGCTCTCAGACTTCTCTGGCATCAGGGAAAGTTTCACCTGAGTAAGGGCTATAAAACTGAAGCAGGAACAGCTGTTTGGGAGTCAAAGTCAGAACAGCCAACAGGCATTTGTTAGCATGATTGATTACAGTACTTAAGATTTTTGGGTTAATATCTCAAGAATATGTTTCCACCTTGTTTTTCTGCAGTCTAATGTTTTGTTCCTCCCCTTGCAGAAAAAAGAACGCCAGTTGCTGGGAAATAAATCAACTAATACTTACAGCACTGGAAAGCTGACCCCTGCACCAAATATGCCAAAGGACTCAGCCCCATCTGTCATCTCAAACACTGCATCTGCTCCAGTGAAGTCTGCAGAAGAAAAGCCTGCTGAAAGCAAAAAGACTTACAACAGCATCAGTAAGATTGACAAAATGTCCCGGATAATTTTTCCGGTGCTGTTTGGAACTTTTAACTTAGTTTACTGGGCCACATATTTGAATAGGGAGCCTGTTATTAAAGGTGCCAGTTCTCCAAAATAAACTGAAGGACTCTAAAGCCACATGTGAGCCATATTCAAAAAGCAGATGCTACCAAGGAATATTTGAGATCCAGATGACTTTCTACATTTGGGCAATATTCTTCAGGAAGTTTTTTTGCATGTTTAATAATATGTACAAATAATATTGCCTTGATTGTTTCTACATGTAAACTCAGATGTTTCGGAGACTTACAGCAACAGATCTTTCTAAAAGATGATCAGAAGACACTGAAAATGGCTTCTTTGCTGCTGAGTATCTTGCGTGGATAGTTTACAAATAAAATAAGTTCTATTTTTTAACTGTTGGAGTGTACTACATATCGTGGTTTTTATACTTCAGATGTACAGTCATACAAATGTAGGCTTAACCTGGATTTTACAGAAGAGCTCCACTATCGTCATCTGGTAGGTTACTGAGTCATGTCAGTTGTAAATGTGCCAAATTCCTAAGGGCAGGGCTATGTTTGAGCACCTTTCCTGGTTATAGGTAGCACATCAATCCACAGATGAAACTGCTCAGCCCAGTTTTCATTAGAAGTGAATCCAATGCAGTAAATCCTAACGGGGCTGTGCTGATTTTCACTGTTTGAGCCTCCAGCTTGCAGTGAAATAACATACAGAGCAGGATGCTACTTGTGTAAATAAAGGTGGTGGAACTTTGCCCTTAAAGAAAAAGATGAAGTTCGTTTTGATTTTGCATCCCAAGGATTTTTCTCAAATGATTCTCAGTATTTATTCCAAAAACTAGAGATATATTGCATGAAATTAACATAGATTAGGAACATACTTGTGCAAATAAAACTTTTAACAATGGCTGTAGACATTTTTATTAGGATGAAGTAAATGATGTTTGGACATTTTCCCAAGAAGAAGATTGCATTACATTAGCAGAGATTAACAGTAAAGAATTACAGTCATTCTGAAGTAATGATTACTTGTTTCCCACAGTGAAAATCAATCAGCCAACCCTAAGAAATGTGATCAGAAAAAAAAAGATGTGCTTCGTGACAGCAAGATGTTTCAGTGACAATATTGACAGAAAGGTCTTTGTACTGTCCATCTGAAACTTTTCTATGAAACGCCTTGCTGCTGCCAGTGTGTTTTGCTTTCACAATGAATGAGAAAATGCAATCTGACTTTTCAGCTCTTTCCTCCTTGGCATCCTTTCTCTGTTCCAGAAGCTTTTGTAACTTAATATGTTTAAATAAAAAAAAAGCATTCAACGTTTGATTGCAAAATGTCATTCTTATATTGGATATCCTTTTAAGAAGACCAAAAATGAACCAGAAGAGCTGGAAGAATTAATTGGAAAGTACACTTGTGCATACTTGATCACATGTGTGTGCATGATGTGTCCTCACTGTTGCCCAGCACAAGGTACTTACTGAGTGAAGACAGTGAACTGGGATGTTTCAGAATTAAGTGCTATCTGACTCTGGAGGAGCCTGTCTGGGCTTCTTGTGTGTCTTCTCTTCATCCTCTTCATTCCTAAACACTGCCAATTAAAACAAAAAAATAATAATAATCTCCCACAACTATTCCTTTTGCCAGCTTTTCTTCTGATGCTGTGGAAGTAGAAACCTGCTAATTCTCAGTGGCCACAGAAAAGCCCCAGGACTGAGTGGGTGACTGGAAGCTGGTAAAGAGCAAGGGAGGAACATGCCCATCTGTTAGTTACGGTGTTGTTCTGAGACAAGGTGAGGATTTGGATCTTTGTTTTCAAGCAGGTTTCCGATGTGGCTTTGAGCAGCCACACACCTCCTTGTTTGTCATTTCTTTGCTCTTAAAGTGGGATAATGGTATCTGAACGCAGTGAATCCCTGGGGATTGAAAACAGTGAAAAAATGCAGGGCCTACTAGGAGGAAAAGCTTTATAATAAAGTCCTATAGCTGCTTTTTTTTTTTTCTTGCATGCAGATTATTCCCACCAAAAGGCAGGACCCAACAAGACCCCATGTTTTCTCAGTGAAGTGCACATACCTTTGCCAAGCCCAACAGGGATGCAGAGCAGTGAATTGCATGCACATTGTACTGGATGCAGTGGTGACTGGACGTGCCATTGACACTCATGGCAGATGAGTGTGTGCTGTGTAACAGATCTGGGCAAAACTTCTTGCTAGGAATTAATTTTCCAAGAGCTTCCTGTTTCTAGTCTCATCAGAATAACAGATGACATGTATCTCTTCTAACATCAGCCACCCAGCATAATGCACCAAACTAATCCTGTCTGAGGATGATGGGTGGACTAATGAAGACCCATCAGGACATAATCCATACACTGACTCATCCTTTCTTTGACCCCATGATGTTTCCATGCTGTTAGCACATACTACTGTGTTTCAGGCAGCTGTGTGTCAGTATCTGTGAGCTCAATTTCAGTATCTGTAACCTCAATTCTCTTCCCAACCATTCTCATGGCCTACAGGTGACACAGGCCTAAACTTTTAATTACATGTTTTTATTTATGATCATATTTGCAATTGGAAAAGGCACACTGGATTCTGTTCAGTAAGACTCTTACTTAATCCTTTCCCTCAAATACCAGACATTCCAGTCACATGAAAAACATGCTGGGTTTGGTTTTGGTTTTGGTTTGTGTTTCCACAGGAAGATCAGGTAGTGATAAGGTTTTCAAATAAAAAAAAAAAAATTGAACAATGATGTGCCAAAGATTTAGGAACTAATGGGACAGTCACTGACCAAAGCCAGGTTCTGTGCGTTCCAGTTCAATCTGGAGAGAGGGACATTGACATAACTCTCTAAATAGATGGAAATCCTATCAGGATCCTGAGATGCTGATTGCTAGTAGAGTACTCGGGAGAAATGCCATATATACATCCTGTTCCTCTTTCCAAAACCCATCTGCTTCTGGCCACTTTCAGAGGAAGGATACTGTGCTATCCAGACTTATGTCCTGACCCCATACAGCTACTCAGCAAACGTTCTT